CCTCTTTGTGCGAGTTGGTTCGCTGTGGCGACCCCTGAAGGAGCAGCCAAAAGAGGAAAACAGAAGATTTTTGGCCCTTGAAAATAATAAACGCATTTAACGTTTTTTGTTTTTGAGAATAAAGATAATCGGGAACGTTTAGACACTAAAGTAAAAGTAAAGTTAAACGCCTAGTGTTACTTAAAGGAAGACATGAAGCCGTTTGCTCAGTGTTGACTCTCAGCTACTACCACACCAAACCTCTGAGCTGTGTGCACATTCGGAGATTAGTTTCTGAAGGTTTCATAAGAATCCGTCCAGAGGTTCGTGAGATATTTTACTGACAAACAATTCCAAATAGGTCATGGCAAAACTGTAAACAACCTTCTTGCGCAATCTTAATATTCCGAATATGTTGGATCAGTCTCAGCTACAACCACACAACATTTCAGCGTAACTGTTGAACTGATCTCATGATGCACGTTTTATGTTTTTAAGTGCGTGTGGCTGTGGCGGCCATCTTGAATCAGGTTGACTCTAAAAGTTAACACAATAAAATGACGTTGATGATCCTGAAAGTTTAAATAAAATCCGTTCAGAGCTTCAGGAGAAACTATTCGCTGTGGGGTGATGTCAACGTGTGTTGGTTCAAAGCCTGAAACAACCTCATCCGAAGTCGACCTTTGACCTTTGAACCCCAACGGGAGTCCGTCACTCATCCATTATTAGCCCGTGCTGCTCCCATGCCCGTCTCTTTGAGCGAACATTATTTAGCGAGTGTCTTTGGCCTAAATAGCGAGCGAACGCTTCTAGCTTGATTTGAGTTTCAGGGTGGATAAAAAAAACAAAACTGAAAACTCAAAGATGAGGACAATAAATAATTTGTCCTCCTTTCATGACGGATGTGTGTCACTCTCCTCCCTTTTTCATGAGCTTTGTAATTCATTTCATTTCATCACCTCTTCCAAGTGGACGGTTGAAAGCATTCTTCAGCGGCCTTTGGGGGGTTGAGCCTAACAAAGCCAAGGACGACACACACACACACACACACACACACACACACACACACACACACACACACACACACACACACACACACACACACATGAGGGACAGCTGAACTCAGCCTCGTTAGGGGGAAACGCAATCACAAGGGGCTTATCGTACTGACACAAAACACACACACACCCCAACACACTGAACCTGGTGCCCTCGCTCTGGCAGGCCATTGTATTGTGGGATTGTGCGGACAATCTCTTCATGAATGATTAAGCAGCGTATTTCTCAACCAAGTCTTTGAAGATGAGTGTGTGTTTGATCATCAGGCGAGTGCGCAGCGCTTTTTGTGATATGCCAGCGAGCTACGGCACATATTTGTATGTCTGTCCACCTACTCTGCTGTGTGTGACACACAGACTAAACTGTTTGTTGCTTTATTGAATCGACGCTTTATTTTATCTGAGAAGTCGTTAGATCTGCCTGCTTTCCTTATGCGATGGAAAGTGAACAAAGTGCTGAAGTTGTGCGTCTCTGGTCTGGAGTATCGGCTGATTCGCACAGCTTCAAGCACATTTTCAGCGCGTTTGTTGATGTTTACACTGACGTTGTTGCAGTTGAACTCTTGAACTGTAGGTGTCGCTGTAGAGAAAACAATGCTACTAAACAACAGGAAGTGCAGGGAGAAGAAGAGCTGTCCACTCTAAGAAATTAATTCATTCTAAAAAAACAAACGAATAAACAACTTGTTTGTCATTTTTCATCAAGTGTACCTGTATGTACGTAGAAACAACCTGCCTACTGAAATTTAACTGACAGTATTGGACTCTATCGCTACACGGATTTAATAAACTGACACATTCCTAAGACTGCATTGGACGTGGGTTCTGCTGATGAGGTTCTAATGTCCATACATTGGTTAATCTTCACATTTCAAACTGTTTGATCTTAATTAGAGCCACCAGGGCCTTCAACCTTTCCATGCCATTGGTATGGTTGTGTGAACACTGACCATGGAGCAGAGAAAGCAAAGGCGAGAGCTGTCCGAGGAGCTCAGGAAGATCAGGAAGTTGAAGTTAAAGGGTATCTGACCAGCGTCATGTCCCTCTGACGATATTAATTAGAAATACAAATTTCATTTGGCTGTAGACAGCCTCTCGTGACATGGACGCAATAGGAATTGCGACACCAGGTTGATCGTGTGGATAGTGTGAATGATGGAAAAATAATCAAGGAATCTCTTCTAGACCATTCAACCTGGACAACAGGTTCAAGGTACGCCAATTTCTGAACTCGCAAAACCATTTAAAACCATTATGGGCTTCATGGAAGAGGGTCCACTACTGGCAATAAAACAGGATTTTGCCAAAATGGGTGAGTCCCAAAAATGTTGAAACAAAACTGGAGTCTTCTGACCTATTCATACTAACACTTATCCACGTCTGTGTACGTGTTTTTTTTTTTGTGACGAGTCTTGATTGCGTCCCTCCCTTAACGAGGCTGCCTACAGCTGCCCCGGCTTGTGAGAAACTATTGTTGGGCCCGTTCAATGGAGAGACGCTTGTTTGGGAAAAGGTTGCAAAGTCATGGGAAAAGAGAGCTTTGTCTCGGCGGGGTCGTGAGGGAGTGAATCATGAGCGGACGTGTTTATAGCTTAACACACACAGCTGTGGCAAACACACACGCATACACACACGTGAAGAAATGAAAGCATGAAGAAGAAGGCACAGAGAACACCCCAAGACACAAATGTGCTTTTTTTTTTTTTTTTTTTTTGTTAGAAGAGACAAAACGTGAACAATGGAGACTTTAACTCTCACAAAGAAAATAAACCACTTTACACAAAATCATGAAGACACAGACAAACGTCCAACACACACGCTATCACAAGGTCTCTTATCACGCAGACTGTGGATGGCTAAACTCTTGGGGGCGGGGTGGGGGGTATGTGGGTGCGTTCTCTTTCTTGGACAGGGTGTCTCTTTGTGGTACAAAGCTCAGCTTTCTCAGCTTAAAATTCAGTGTCATCTGCCTTTACAAAAGGCCCGGGCTCTTCGTTCCAAGCCACCTGGACCAAAATAGAGGCTCCAGTGTAGCACCCAAAAGTATAATGCTTCTATTTTTAAGAGGTACAAACACAGACACCCATCTTCTCTAGCTGGAGACAAAGATTCTCATTCAAAGAGAGTCAATTAAGTAACGTTCTGTTGATTTTTATTTATTTATTTTTGTCCAAGGTCATCTTTATAACCCTTAGGATGAGATTTGTTCAGTAAATGTTGCACAATAACTAAATTTCTGATGGTTGAGTTCCACCTGGATGTTTCAGGACAGTAATAAAAAAAAAGAAGTCCTATTTAAAAGCACAAAAAAACCAAAAAAAAAACATGAGAAATGCCACAACTTTCGTCATGTTTTATAGAACTGAAGCAGACGTGCATGCATTGTTTAGCTCCTTCGTGCTTTTATTTAGGGACGCATGATATTATCGGCACGGCATCAGTATCGGATGATATTGGTGATAAAGTTAAATATTGGACATCGGCCATTCCATCAAAATAACTCGCAGAGACAAAAGATGCTGTAGCGTAGCTTATCAGTAGTAGCGTAGTTTGAGAAAGCTATGCAGTCTCTGTAAGTAGGTCTAAGGGGAAAAAAATATTGGTATTGATTATTGGCCAAATAAGTTTTAACATAACTGATATCAGCCAAAAATCCAATACTTTTATTCCACCTGACACTGAAAAGTAAAACCCAACCAATGGTTGAACGTTTTTTCCTGTTTGTATTCACGCACTGACCACTTCATTAGGTCCGCCTGTTCAACTGCTGGCTTACGAACAGTTAATCCCATGGAAGCAACTCGGTGCTTTCAGGCATCCAGACGTGGTGAAAACAACTTACTAGAGTTCAAAACAGCCATTCAAACGGGGAAGAAGGGGATTTATGTGTTTGAACGTAGCACGGTTATTTCAGAAACTGATGATCTACTTGCACAATCATCTCTTGGGTTGACAGACTGGTCTGAAGAAGAAAATATCCAGTGCGGAGAAGGTTAGCCTTGCCGCCGTGTTGATGGAAGAAAACTGGCAGGCAGGTTCAAGTCGATGGAAAGGAAACAGTGGCTCAGATGATCACTCGTTTCAACCGAGGTGTGCAGAGTCCAACGTTAAAGCTGATGGGCTACAGCTGGAGACCACACCTGGTGCCACTCCTGTCAGTTTCGTGGGACAGTAGCTTTGTTTACATGGACATGAGTAATCGGATTAAACGGCCATTCGGGATTAAAATGCGCCGTGTAAACGCCCCATTCGGATTATTCTTTGTTGATTCAGCCCAGCCACCAGATCTCAATCTAACGGAGCGCCTTCGGGACGCGATGGAACAGAAGACTCGCATCGTGGAGGTGCAGCTGGAAAGTCGGCAGCAAATTTGTGGTTCTGTTGTTTCAATATGGACCAAAATCACAAATGTCTCCAACGCCTTAACACGAGTGTCCAGAGTTTGTTTTGAGACTAATCCCATGAACCAGCCAGCATTTGTTTTAATTGTACGTTCCTCTACAGCTGATTAACTTTTGGAGTCAACTGATTTCAAGATGACTACCACACCCAAATGACCCGAGACGACAAACGACCAAAAAAACATGGTTGTACCTCAGCTGGTTGTTCAGATAAAATGAGTCATAAACATCTACAGCTGATGTGACCAGTACTGTGGTTGAACAAACAAACGCACAAGGACGAGAAGTTAGAAAGCCAGAACTTTTAACAACAAATTGTTCTACTTTCCAAAGCATGACTCGTGATTCAACAAGGCGCCAGCTCATGGCGAGCTCACGCTTTGTGCACGCGTGTTGGAGGAGGAGCTTCCATCAGAAGCCGATTCAGGCCGTAAACGCTGATGACCGAGAGATCGGCTACAATCGCAATCACAAAACTGCCTTTGTGGGCCACACGGATGCACAAGAGAGCGTGCAATCGCACAAACGTGCGCACGCACACGGAGACGCGAGCAGGCCTCACCTGGATTTGTTGCTGCAGGAGGTTGATTTTGTGTTGCTGCTGCAGAAGCTGCTGCTGTTGCCGGGCAATCTGCGAACAGAACACACAGCGCGTGTTACGAGCGCACGTAGGGCAGGTGTGTGCGTGTGTGCTGCAGGGGGACGCCACACACGGGCTGGTCTCTGAGGCCCCGGCTGTGCGACAGTAGGTCGATGGCCTTCTATGAAATATTAAAGAGCTCGTCTCATCTGGAGTCAGCAGAAAAGCGCAGACACGCTCCCTGACATGCTGACGTTGCTGCACGTATGAAAGAGTTATTCTGGATGTTTACCTGCGCAGGGACAGGTCTTTTACTTTGTTTGTTTGAAGATTGTGATCATCTTTGATAGTTTTTATAAGTGTGAATGTTGACTCATCACTCACACTGTGTGTGTGTTGTGCTTTTTTAGTCATTTATTTAGCAAAGTGTTCAGCTTGTTCCAAAACAAAGAGAATGCAGGTTTATTTTGTAACATATGGCTGATATATTATACTCCCTATATAAATCCATCAAGATCAAAGAACTGCTTCGTTCAAATGTGTCTGAGCATACCTTTTCTTATGCTAGTTTTTTATGCTAACCTATTATCTTCAAGCCTTTTACTACTTTTAGCTAACGTTCAGGTACTTTAATCTACCGTACTAGTCGCATCAATTCAAATATTTCTGATAAGGTGGTAAAAACAGAAATATGTCGCTTCGCCATATAAGTCACATCTATTATGCGCCAAATGGCGGCTGCTGGAGCGTGCGCAGGAGAAGTTTAACAAAAATTTAACAATATTAACACTTAAAAACAATTGTTTGCTCAAAATTATAGTAAAGGTGTGTCTCAGTCTAACTTTTCCTTAATTAATGCACTTGGACGGTCAAATCAGTTGCATTTCGCCGCTGATTTGACGTTTGCTCCAGGAGTTCTGGAGCGAGACAAAGGTGGCTTAGTATGGCAAACAAAGTGTCTCATTAATAGCCACTTCTACCTATTAATGAGACACTTGGCTTGCCATAAGAGTAGCGGCCCTCTAGTGGCTGAAAATGGTAGTGTTCACTATTTTCCATGTCAGAATGAATGAAATCAACAGATCTCAGCCAAAACTTGGTTTATAAATATGGGAAAAAATAAATGTCGCTTTGCTATACAAGTCGCAGGCATGCTAATGTATGCTAAAAACTGTGACTTGTACAACAAAAAGTACGGTATGCTTTAGCCACTTATCGTCTTTAGCCAGCCTTTTGTTACACTTGCCTTTTAGCTATTTTAATGTATGATTGTATCTTCATTTTTGCTACTCTTATCTTCAAGAAAGCTTTTTGTTAGCCTTTTAGCTGTGTTTGCTACTTTTATATTCTAGCTAGCCTATTGCTCCTTTTAGCTACCTTGTTGCTCCTTTATTTTTTAACCATCCTTTTTATTTTTAACTCCCGTCTATCCCTTTGATATTTTTTAAGTAGCATTCTGCCACTTGTAGCTGGTGTTTTGCTGCTTTTGGTTAGCATTATTGTTAGCATTATGCTTATTTTAACTTTTAGTTTTACTCCCTTTACCATTTTTTTGCTCCTTTTTTATATTTTAGCTAGCAGCTTGTTCTAATTTGAACTTTACCAACACGCTTTCAGTAAATTCCAGCGCTCAGAATTCACCGTGCATCTTCACAGAAAGTGATGTTTTTTCTACTTTGAGGTATGTTTAAGGCATCAACCATCCTGAAAAATGCATTGTACCTCTGAGAAGAAAAGCTCATTTAAAGTAACACGGAGCTGCATAAAGTAAGTATCCACATGTATTCTCGTTCTGTGCCTGCAGCTCTGCAGTGCGTTGTTTGTCACAGATGATTTGTCCTTACAGCTCTTTCTCAGGGCGTCTGTAAACCAAAGCTCTGCAGAAGGAAAACACCTTGACGATGCAAATACCTGCCAGACTCTTGCCTGGGACGTTAAAGTGTGTGTGTGCAAGCCCTCAGCTGATTCCAGTTTACAACTCGCTGCACGAATGCTCCTTAAAAAGTGAATTTAGGTGCAGGAAGCAGAAAAAGTTCTGGGATATTTGTTCATGTTTGAAGCCAGCTTTTCTCACAAACGTATAAATCAGGATGATTTCCCATGATCCCGTGCAACATTCAGACAAAATGTTCAGGTACGGAGGATCATCTGACTGATGCACACTTTGCTTTTCCTGTTTAGTCTGTTCAAATGTTTGTGCGATTTAAGTACTTCAGCATGTTTTAGTCAAATTTAACAATTCATATTAAAAAGGAGATTTAGTTTGATCAGATATATAGGTTTTTTTTTTAATGCTAATTTTAGCTTATTTTAGCCTAGTTAGGCAAATTTATGTTCTCTCTACTTCTACTGATTTACGCTTGTTCTACCCTTTAATCTAAGTTTTTTTGTCATTTATCGCTAAATTCAGCTGTTTTCAAATTCAAGTTTTTTGTGGTAATTTCTGTTACTTTTAGCCTAATTAACTTATTTCGCCTAATTTCAGCCCCTTTTAGCTTATTTCAAATAGTTTCAGCTTTTTCTGCTTTCAGCTACAATTTAGCTGTTATATGCTAAATTTAGCTTTTTCAACTAATTCCACATTTTTGGACATTTTTTTTCAGCTCCTTCTAGTAGTTTAAGCTTCTTTGTGACTTTTCAGCTACTTTTCGGTAATTTTTTTTAACTAATTTCAACTTTTTTTAAGCTTATTTCCAGATTTTTCTGCTCATTGTTTTGCTATTTAAACCTAATTCAGCAAATGTGTTTTCTTCTGCTGTTATACTTCTTCCATTTTAGCTAATTTCAGCTGTTTTTCAGCAAGTTCTTGTGCAATAAGCATTCACACTCATTTTCACAGGAAATGCAATTTCTTTAGTTTTTATTTTAATTAATAAAATATATACATACTCATAAACACATTAAATGTCTTAATTTCATTCAAAACCATTATTAACCATTAAGCTCTAAATTCTACTACAGTATTCTTACCCTATTTTTCTCATCTTGTGCTCCATTTAGCAACATTTTGCTAGTTTTAGCATACAGTGCCTTGAGAAAGTATTCAGTCCCTTGAACCTTTTGCCACATTTCAGGCTTCAAACATAAAGATATAAAATTTTAATTTTTTGTGAAGAATCAACAACAAGTGGGACACAATCGTGAAGTGGAAAGAAATTTATTGGATGTGTCAAACTTTTTTAACAAATAAAAAACTGAAAAGTGGGGCGTGCAATATTATTGGGCCCCTTTACTTTCAGTGCAGCAAACTCACTCCAGAAGTTCAGTGAGGATCTATGAATGATCCAATGTTGTCCCAAATGACTGATGATGATAAATAGAATCCACCTGTGTGTAATCAAGTCTCTGTATAAATGCACCTGCTCTGTGATAGTCTCAGGATTCTGTTCAAAGTGCAGAGAGCATCATGAAGACCAAGGAACACACCAGGCAGGTCCGAGGTACTGTTGTGGAGAAGTTTAAAGCTGGATTTGGATACAAAAAGATTTCCCAAGCTTTAAACATCACAAGGAGCACTGTGCAAGCAATTATATTGAAATGGAAGGAGTATCAGACCACTGCAAATCTACCAAGACCCGGCCGTCCCTCTAAACTTTCATCTGGAACAAGGAGAAGACTGATCAGAGATGCAGCCAAGAGGCCCATGATCACCCAGGATCATTCTGGAAGAAAACCAGTTTGAGTCTGCAACAGACCTGAGACTGGGACGGAGATTTATCTTCCAACAAGACAATGATCCAAAACATAAAGAAACATCTACAATGGAATGGTTCACAAATAAACGTATCCAGGTGTTGGAATGGTCAAGTCAAAGTCCAGACCTGAATCCAATCGAGAATCTGTGGAAGGAACTGAAGACTGCTGTTCACAAACGCTCTCCATCCAACCTCACTGAGCTCGAGCTGTTTTGCAAAGAAGAATGGGCAGAACTTCAGTGTGTCCATGTTCAAAACTGATGGAGACAAACCCCAAGAGACTTGCAGCTGGAACTGCAGCAAAAGGCGGCGCTACAAAGTATTAATGCAAGGGGGCCGAATAATATTGTACGCCCCACTTTTCAGTTTTTTATTTGTTAAAAAAGTTTGACACATCCAATAAATTTCATTCCACTTCACGATTGTGTCCCACTTGTTGATTCTTCACAAAAAATTAAAATTTTGTATCTTTATGTTTGAAGCCTGAAATGTGGCAAAAGGTTGAAAAGTTCAAGGGGGCCGAATACTTTCACAAGGCACTGTACATCTGCAGGTTTTTTAATTATATCTTAGCAACTATTTTACTTTTTGCTCTTAATGTTTTTTTTTTTTTTTTTGCTGATTTTATCTTCTAACTACCATTTAATTTATTTTAAGTCATTTTTAGCTAGTGTTGCTAATTTTATGTTGTAGCTACAGTTTAGCTACATTTAGTGTTTAGCTACTATATGGAAATTTGTAGCTAATTTTTTTTGTCAGTTTTAGCATCTAGCTACTGTTTTGATCATTTTAGGGTTTGGATATAGTTTTCTAATTAACTATGGTTTGTCCAATTTTAGTTTATAGCTACTGTTGTACAAATTTAAACTTTTAGCTACAGTTTAGTTCATTTAGTCTTGAAGCAACGGTTTAGTTAGTATTCTGCAGATTACAGCTTGTGTTCTGCTAGTTTTAACTTCAAGCATTCAGTTAAATTTATTTAACTTTAACAATGTCTTTCAGCAGTCACGCCACATGTCTGCAAATAATTATTCTTATTTTCTTTTCTCTTCCTCAGCACTTCTGGTGTCCATTTTTGTTTTTTATGTGCTCAAATCTCATTTTCTGTTTGCACGTTCGAGTCTGCATGAGCTCCAACTTGCTCAGTTTTGATTTGTAATCAATTAGTGCAGATTAGAGTATCCATCATAAAACATGTTTGGCTTTTAGACTAAGCTGCTGAGGTGTCTCATTGAAGCTATGAACCCAACTCTGTGAAGGTTTTCTGCTCTAAATTGGAGCGGATGATTTGGTAGGGTGGACTTTCTGGCAGCACGGGACCGCCAGAGTACGGCCCGCTTCCAAATGAGGCCCTTCTCATGCAGCGTGCTCGTCTACCTGGTCCTGCTGCTGCTTGGCCAGCTCCATCTGCTGCCTCTGCTTCTCCATCTGTGAGGCGGCCAGCTTCTTCTGCTCCTCGTGCGCCGCCAGGAGCTGCTCCCTCAGGCTGCTCAGCTGGCCAATCATGCCCATGAGCTGGCGCTCTTTCTCCGCCAGGCTGTCTGGGGTACCTAAAGGGCAACAGAACAAAGAAAGGAAGGGGGGGGAGACGGGTCAAAGGTGAAATGTTGGCACTTTGAAGAGGAGTGCAAGACTCGGCTGTAGTTCCAATATGATTTTTTTTTTCTTTGCTGAAAGGAAAAATACAAATTGAACCTCACAGTTGATCATTAGTTGCATCTGAATTAAATCAAAGCGATGCTTTCTTAAAGAAGAGTGATGCAGCAGGTCACGGAGGGTTGTGGGGGTGAAGCCAGAGGTCGAGCTCTGAGCAACGACTAAAGACATCAGTGACTTAATATACGACTGGTTGGAAGGTTTGAGCAGCAGGAGGGGGCCGGGCGGCACAAGATCCGCTTGGTTAATGTGCATTTGAGCGCTGCAGAGGTTCTACAACCAGATGTTGACTGGTCTCCCTGGGCAGAGAAGGCCAGCATCAATTAATCAAGTCTCATCCGTCGCCGGATTTTACTGCCTTATTGAAAGGAGGATAAAAAAAAAAACAAATCTGTCTGAGGAAATATTTGTAAACAGTCAAAATGTGGTGGGGAGCAGGAGAAAAGCAAACGTGAAATCTCCGCCAGATTCATACGTCTCGCAAACAAAACCCATCCTCGGCCAGGTTTGGGAATTTACATTTTTCTCAGAAACCTGGAAGTGGAGCGTATTTGGTTTGTGCTGAGTCGTGTGGACATTTGGAGACGGATCCGTAGCTATCGAGCTGTATTTTTCTGTGATTGAGCTTCGGAGGAGGAGGGGAAAAAAAAAAAAGCAAGGAGCGGGGGGAATGAGCAAAAGAGTGTGTCTGGTCTGTGTTTACTCTGCAGTCAGCCAGCCTCCTTCTCACATTTAGCTTGGCCTGACCTTTGACCTCTTAGATCCTGACATACCAGCTCCATTACACACACGCACACACACACACGGCCTAAATCATTCAACAGGATGTAGTTATAGGGAGGCACACTGAGGCCCAATCAGCACAAGTGTGTGAGCTCTTGTCTGGTCATATGTACTGATGTTTGCCTACATGCCTTTGTTGAGTGTGCATGTGTGTGTGCACGTGTGGCACAGCACAATCCCTCATTGTTCTTCAGCTGCTACCTTTAACAGGGCCACATTCCTGTTCAGTCCAACCAGATGAGAAAAAGAGAAAAGATGTTGGAAGAACAAAAGATCAGCAGAAAAGAAAGTAAAACCACCGCAGGAAGTGAACAAAGTTTACGGTTTGAAGGAATGTGTGCCGCCCGCTGCCTTTTATGCCAAAGTTTTAAACTAAGACCTGTTTAAAACTTGTAAATTATTTGCAAGATCAGTAAACGTGTAATCTCACTGGGCTGCAGGTTGGATGCGCGCACATTTTAAGCCATTCTGCAGCTTTTCTGTTGATGTCGCTGAATTCCGTTTGTGACCAGAATCGTGCCGACACCGAGCTCGGAGCAAAAACTGAAGATCTCAACCCGTAAGATCCCATAACAAAAATAAAAAAAGAAGCTAAGTTTCCCCAAATTATGTGTTTACGTATCCTTTATCAGCCACCGGCTAAGCGGACTTTTTTAAACTGGGAGATGTCCAGGTAACAATAATGCACCCTGTGATTTTGGAAAATAACTGTTTTTGTGTTTAAGACTGGAAAACCGTGCTTTAGGACGTGCACTTCTTTTTTTTTTCTTTTTTTTTTGGTCCACATTGACCTGCTTTGGCTTGACTTGTCTCCATGTCTGCATGTTTTATCCACTGTAGTACTTTGCTGTGGTTCCCAACAGTGGTCCCTGAGGAACACCTGCATGTTTTAGTTGTTCCTCCACTCCAACTCACCTAATTTGAATGAAAGTGTGATTAACAGGCTTATGCCGAATGTAAGGAAGTAATTAAACCACTGAATCAGGCGTGTTGGAGAAGAGAAACGACTAAAACATGAAGGATGGTGTTCCTCGAGGACCATGGATGGGAACCACTGCTTTACAGAAGACGGACCAGTTTTGGGGTAATTATTATTTATCTGGAAAGACGTTCACACAAAGGTTTCAACATGTTCAAAATTCAAACGACAAGGCTGTGATCGCCTTAAGCACTCGGAGTATCCGTTGAGGAAGACTCAGCTGCTACCACATCAAACTTCAACACAGTATCTGTCAAATTGACAAACTTGTAGCCATCGTTATTGTTGCTTTGCTGTGGAAGCCATCTTGAATTGGAATGACTCCAAAATTTAAACTGTTGTGCATTTAGTGAATACTTGAAGAGTTTACAGAAGTCCCTTGATACTTTGCGGTTCAACTTTTGCGGGTTTTCAATGTAAGATTGTACACGACATACGATGCCTTTCTCTTTCTGAGGCTGTCGACAGCCTCAGAAAGAGAAAGGAGGGGGTGAGGGGGGTCTGTTTAATACCGGAGTGATCCGCACGAGCGGCACAAATTGTTTAAAATAATCAAGCGCAACCTGAACCGAGCCTTTAGTCCCCCTCGGCGATCACCGAGCGGGCCAGGCCACCAGGAAATATCCTGGTGCTCCCGATGACCAGTTTGATTGGCTCAGTAACCGTAGCATCAGTCTGTCTGCTCTCTTTCGCTGTGCTCTTTTAGTCCGTTTAGAGAGTTTAGAACATTAAGAACAATGCAAGAATGCAGGAAGGATTTATAAAGCCTTACGATATATATATATAAAAATTCTAAATATAACGTCTCTACTTTCCAGATTTTCATCTATCGTGGGGGTGTCTGGAACGTAACCCCTGCAGCACAGTGAGGGACTACTGTATAAAATCTGTCCAGTGTTTCATAAGATATTTTGCTAACAGGACAAATACAAACTCAAAAGCAAAATCAAGATCATCCGTTCTCATTTGACGACAGGAAATCTAAACTAACTTAAAAAAAATAAAAGATGTGAAGTGAAAGACAAAGCTGCGATTGCCGACTCGCCTTTCGTCTGCTCGCGAAGGTGAGATCCGTCCATTTGTCCTACCTCCACTGCCCACTGCACCCCCCGCGCCTTCTCCTCCTTCCACCTCCTCCCCCTTGCACCATCCATCCGCCAACAATGAACAATAAAGGCAACTGTCGGGAGCGCTGGCCGCTGGAAAAATAAACATGCCGCTGTCCTAACTCACAGACCCACCTTTGTAGAGACGGGTTAGTGTGTGTGTGTGTGAGAGACAGACAAGAAAGAGCCTTGTGTTAAAAACGTTAGCTGTTCAAACGTTGGGGTGAAGGGGTGTGGAGGAAAAGGGCAAAACGAAGGCCAACGGAGGGGGAAGAGGTGGGGGCGCAAAGGTGAAATGATGGATCAAAGGAGTCTTTTTAGCCGAGCCTTTTGGTTGTGGGGGGGTTTAACCTCGCACATAATCACGGAGGCTCCAACATGGGGGCACACGTGTGTCCAGATGAAAAAACACACCTTTCACCAGCAAACAAGACAAAACACAAGTATGTGCTCCTGCTTCACACCCCCCCCCCCCCCCCCCCCCCCAGTTCTATTAAGAACTTTTTTTTTTTTTGGGTTCCACCATAAATCAGCTGGTCGGGCTTGTTTCCTCAGCTGCTGCGAGGCAGGCAGGTGGATCGATAACTGGTTTCCTACATAGGTTTACACACATTCTTCCTTTAGGCACATCACTGCATCCTGTGATAATAAGAACCAAGACACCCCCCCCCACACACACACTCTCTCTCACAACGGGGGTAATTAACAAATTTCTAACAATGTAATACTTGTCACTGCTAATTAATGACGCGGGCTGTGCTGATAACTCCTCTTGGGTGGGAGGGAAAGGGAAGGAGAGGGGGAGTGGTGAAAGCATGACAGACAAAAAGAGAAAACTTGCTTCATATATAACTACCTAAATTTAATTACTGTAAACAACTTAATTAGGCAACATAATTGCAGGAATTTATTGGCTACCTAATATAAAGCTGTAAAAATAAGTTGTTACTGCTATTTTAACTGTATGGAAGTAAAGACCCCCCCTTTAAAATAAATAAATTAAAAAAACTTTCTGGTTGTATGTCAGTTGCTCGTTTTGGTGATGAGCGGTAACGACCCATCTTGGAGACTCGTGAGTCATCATGTTACTAAAACACAGAGCTGCTGATGAAACGCTGAGTAACGTTCAGCGAAAACACTCGTCTCAGACACGTCATGAGCTGCGAACTTCGTCCGTTTCCTTTGAGCGTTCCGAGGCTGATGCTGAAAGACTTTTGCACATCTGGGTTTATGTTTTCCTGTTTCAGCTTTAAAATTAGGACGTCCGTTCTCCTTTTACCAAACGGAGAAGAAGCGGTCTGATTTTCAACTCGGGGAAGTGGAGACATTTCACACTTCCTGTTGTATTTTGCTGGAGTACGATTCCTTTGAGATTTTGGTCACCATTCGTCACACCTGTTTTGTGTTTGTATCCAGTTGACTTGCAGCCTATTTGCAGTTCCTCCCCTCACTACTTATAAGCTTTGGTTTTCCTTTACTCCTTTGCCAGATCCTTATTGTGTTCTGGTTAGGTTGCCAAGTCCGTTTCCTTAAAAACATTTAGTCCAAACAATTTTAAGGACTTTGAGAGTTTTAAGGACTGTTAGTCCGACTATAGCACCGTTAAAACGATCTGTGTTTGGTTTTGCACAGTCAAAAGCCAAAACTCACTCCTGATCAGTCTACTCTGCACTGTGCATGTCCAACAAGTTGTAACGGCAAAAGTTAGGTATGCTTCTCAGTGTTTCTCCTAGATAACTTGCCATGGCGGGGCGCTCATCTCGTCCGTGACTTCTGTTTTTGTCCGGGGAGGGGGGAGGGGACAGACAGAGATACGTCCTAAGTTGCGCAGCGCGCAGTTTAAACCAACAGTTTTAGAGGGGGTTGGGGGACACACAGACAGCCGTGTTGTTTGCACCGACAGTTTTACAGTTTTAGAGCAGGAACAGGAAGTGTGAGAGGAGAGAGACGGACCGTGCGCTGTCTGAA